GTGGTCTTGGACAAGTAACTTAACGTCTCTGAATCTCAATTGTTTATGTGTAAAAAAGTGACAATACCGTGTACCTCAGTGGGTGGCTGTGAGGATCAAATGAGAGAAGAGATGTATATGCATGCTGTATTCTAGAAAGTACAATGTACATTTAAAGTATTATTAGTATCATTCTTATGAAAGCTTGATGAGCAGACCCCATCGCATCATGAACATACAAACAACTCAAAGGATGATCGGGACACAGAGGAATTTGGATTTTTGGAGTATCTTGCTCAGGAATTCACTCTTCTTAACACTGTTTACATAAATCAAAAAGTCCCCTCAGAGTTCCGGGTTCCTGGCTTGCATACAATTTCATTCAATTCTCATGGTGTGTTCTTTTTGCTTAAAATACCAGTCAGACCTGAGGGTCACCTTCCATTTCTGAATTCTCAAGTTGGATTTGGGGAAGGTAGGGGAGACACACCCATACTCAGAGGGGAAACTCCCAAATCCAAAACAAACAGAAAACCACACAAAAACACCCTCTACAAGGACTTTATTTGTGTGGGATCACGTACTAGGGTGAGGTCCCTGGGTGGTGCTGAGCCCCATTTCCTTGTATCCATCCTCCAGATGGCACATTGAATGATACCCAGGGTGAGGGGCAGTCAGTTGCAGTGTCACGTCCATTTATGTAAACACAGGGCAACATCATCTACCTGCACCCCCTCTACCTACTCACACAAGCAGGCCAGTCTGTGGTGAATTTCCACCACAGATGGTATGGGATGGTATTCATTCTGCTGAGGCAGAGAGGTTACCCCTCGGAAGTGAGTGTTTCTTAGTGAATGTCATGGGTAGATTTTATTTTAGATGGCCTCGGCACCAGTCTCACTGTGGCCATCTCCCCGTAGATGGTGGACCCTTGGAAGGCAGGTACCATATCTTATTGATGCTTGTCACTCTACCTTGGTGTACAATAGTCCCTCAATAAATGTCACATCACTGAATTGAAATCTGCCTGCCACCTCTTTTGCATTTTCCCGATGATATCCATGCGTGCATTTGTCTTACTAAGCCATTCATTCCTTCATTCACTCATTCATTCAACAATGAGTAACTCAAATGTCAGCCACTGCGCTAGAGACAAGAGCAGAAAGTGATGCCCGGTGAGAACTGAGAATTCGGTGATAAATGCTGTCAGTGGAAGTCTATACAAGGGGCAAGATAAGCAGGGAAGCAGGTTGGTTCTCAGTTATGCTTTGGCAGGCATGGGAAAGGCTTGCTTACCCGAGGAAATAGCATTTCTGCTGGGCCTGGAGGATGAGCAGGAAGTCCATAGGCAGAGAAAAGGAAGACGAGCAGCTTCCTGGATTTGAACGGCATGAACAGAGAAGAGGGGCCAGGACATGTATCTGTCATCTTGGTGCCTGGGGCTAGTGTTTTCGAGTGTGGAAAGGTAGATGAGGCCAGAATCAGGGCTCAGGCAGTTTAAGAAAGACCTTAATGTTTAAGAAACATTTTAAAAATGTATAAACATTTTAACATTTAAAACAGTTTAAGAAACCCCATGCTGAGAAGGGGTTCTTTTATCCTACGGGTGACAAGGATCTGCCACAGTTTTCTGGGCAACAGCATGCCGTGATCTGTTTTAACCAAGGCTGTTTATTGTACATTAATTTTCCCATTCACTTGCTCTCTGCCACAAGGTTGGGAGTGTGTCATAAGCAGGGATAGAGCCTTACCATTCCAGCACAATGGCTGACACAGGAGGAGAGGTCTTTCTTATTCCAAAGGCAGGCCAGAGAGCTGATCCTCCGCCACCACCTGCTCCTTCCGGCTGGAAGGTGAGCATGGAGAACAGGTCATGAGCAGGGGCGTGGAGATGACAATGGTGGCTGTGCTCATGGGGCAGCCAAGCGAGCCTGACTCACTTGGCAAGGAGTAACAGAATACAAGAGGAGGGGAAAGCAGAGGTCCCTCGTGGAGAAGGAGAATCAGGAAGAGAAATGTATTTATATAAAATGAATTTCATATGGTGGGAAACAACATGGAACCAAGAAGTCCCCTCTAGGCTACCAGCTGGACCTTCTGCATGACCCCTCCAGCTGGCAGGAAGTTCCAGCCAAGGGGAACACATACCCACATTCTGGCTCCAGGAAGTGTCTAGTCAATCATGAGGTGATGCCACTGAGTTCCAGCTACTCATCACTTCTGAAGTTGCCCAGCTGGGTCTGGGCCAAGGGACCCACGGGTAGGGGAGTCAGCAGGCTTCTTGTCCATACCCCTCCAAGGATACAAGGCAGGGTAGGGGTCAGCAGTATCCTCAACCTACCTGCATCCAGGGGAAACCCAGACTGTCTCCAGGTTGTGGAAAACGTCCAGATTGAGCCCAGGAGCCAGACAAGATCGCCCACCAGTAGCCCCACCTAGCAACCAATCTCAGCTCTCTGCTGGGCAATTTAGAATTGCACTAGCAGGCTTTTTTTTCCTAGTCTATCGGGGCCCAAAACACTGTAACAGGAGGTGTGTTTTCTTTTCCTCTGTTCTGGGAAGCTACTATTATAGAGGACCTATCTCATTTTTACAACTCTGACAGGTAAGTCTTATCATTTGTGTTAAAGCTGAAAAACTGAGGTTCAGTTGTTTCCTGGTACACGGTAGAGTGAGGGTGAAACCCTGACCAGGCTATATAACTCCCCCCACTTCAGCAAGCTGCCATAGAAGCCAACCGTATAGCATGAACATGCTCTAGTCTTCGGGGCCTGTGGACTCCACACGCCTGCCTCTACCAGCCCCATGAGAGAAAAGACAAAGGAGGCCATTCTGAGGCCAGCCTCCTGGAGCCAGCAAAGACAGAGATAATAAGTCAACTACCCATAGCATTATCAGGAAGGAGACACACGTGCGATCCAGGTAGCCCATTTCCTGCTTGGTGTATTAATACCCTGAGGTCCAAAACCCTGCCCAGGCCACACACTCCTCAGTGACCCTGACTTTTACCCCGTGACACCTGAGCGAGACTCTGCAAGATGCCTTCTATTGGAGGAATTCAAAATACTGCGACAATTTGGCCTAAGGAGGGGAGACTCACAGCAGGTCACCCCACGGGGCACAGTAAGAGCTGGGGTGGGATCCCTGTACGGGACGTGAGCCCACACCCTGATGTAGCCTCTGAGACCACAAGACACCATACCCTCTTTGGGCCAGCCCTGCCAGCCAGAGCTTGGGTGTCATCCTGGACTCTGCCCTCCTCCTCATGTCCCACATCTAATTAGGTACCTAATCAATCCTCAGAGCAACCTCTATGAAAGGTCTTGACTCCATTCCCTCCTCAAATTAGTTTGGCACTTGCCACATCCCACCCAGATTACTGTCCCCATTCTATCCGTGCTCCCAGCTGGAGGGCTCTTTCCGAAACACACATCTGCTCGCCTCACCTCCCTGCTCACCTGGCCCATATCTCTCAGTGTAAAGTTCAACCGCCTTGGCTTAGCTCCCATGGCCTGTGTCTGCCTCCTGCTCTCCTCCTGGCTTCTCCATTCAGCACATTCACCCTTTGCCTGTACTATCCTGAATGCACTGTGCTATTTCAGGACCACGTACCTGCTGGCCTCACTTCCTTAGAAGGCCCTTCCCCTCTGATGACTCCTGGCAGTCCTTCAAAACTCAATTCAAATACCACCTCTTCCAGGAAGCCCCTCTCAGATACTCCAGTCTGACTTAGATGGCTTCTCATTTAGACTCCCAGCCCCCCAGTACTTCCCTCTATCACAGCACTTAGAGTTGTTGATCTCTCCTTTCTGATTCCTGCACAAGTTCCTGGAAAAGGGGAACTAAGCTCAAACAAGGCCTCAGTTGATTTTGTACCTGTAGCAACACCCAGGCACCCAGCACAATGCTTGAAACACAACAGGAATTTCTGGGTAGAAAAATCAGTGGGTCGGACTTCCCTGGTGGTGCAGTGGTTAGGAATCCGCCTGCCAATGCAGGGGACACGGGTTTGATCCCTGTTCTGGGAAGATCCCACATGCTGCGGAGCAACTAAGCCCATGCACCACAACTACCGAGCCTGCATGCCACAACTACTGAAGCCTGTGTGCCTAAAGCTCGTGCTCCGCAACGAAAAAAGCCACCGCAATGAGAAGCCCGCGCACCACAACGAAGAGTAGCCCCCGCTCACCACAACTAGAGAAAGCCCGTGTGCAGCAACAAAGACCCAATGCAGCCAAAAAAAGAAAAAAAAAAATCAGTGGGTCTCCTCCCCAATAAATGGGTCCCTCTGATTACAGGTTGGGGGGATCTTTATGCTTCAGGTGACTGTAAAGGCTCATCAGCCTATGCAGCTGAGCTCAGCTACTATGGGAACTGATCCTTCTACTCTGACCACACTCTTGCTTTGTGAAGTCCTGTGTGGTCACAGTGAACTTTCTCGACCCTGAGTACCAGTTACCACAAATGATCACTGGCCCCTGAATCAGTTTTATGGCCACAGTAAGGGGCGGAGTAGGGGAGTACAGCCAGTGGTCACTGGGCTCTAAGATTTATAACCTCTGGTCAAAGGATGCTGGACGCTGTTCTGGGTCCAGAGAGCCAGGCAACCTCAGCAGTATTCATCTGAATGCGTCTAGCTCTGCCCACTCAGGAGTTAGCTCTTGGTTACTGAAAAGTTCAGTCTTGTGAAATGGGTTTGGTTTCAAGTTTCCTGTGATTGGCTTACTTATTTAAAAACTACACCCATGTATTTCCTGAAAGAGATAAGGTGCCAGTGGTCTGATTCAGAAGCTTCTTGCCATCAGCCCCTATCTGAAGAAAACCTTCTCTGAGAAATGAAACTCAGGAGGGGGACACTCCCGTGGCATCATTTCTTTCCCAGGAGCTCAGAGTTTTCAACTGTAAGATGAGGGAAGAAGGCCTAGTGGGTGCTGACCCCTCCTGGCAATGACATTGGGAGAGACTGGGCCCATTCTTCCTAACCTGATTCTTTTCCCTTCCCCCCCCCCCACCCCACTGACCTTGAGATCAAAGTGAGCAATTTTCTTGGCATGAAGGTAGTTCACCCCTTCCAGGATCTGCTTAATGAAGCTGGTGGCCTCCTCCTCACTCAGGGACGCCTTCTGGGCCAGGAAGTCAAAGAGCTCTCCTCCGGACACTCTGCAAGACACCAGTAAGGAGGGCCCAGGCTCAGTCAGTCCTGTGTGTCCTGAGCCCAAGCCCATGGGTGCAACCCCTGACCCTGTCTCCAGGCACCGTGCTTAGCAGAATCCCCTCACTCATCTCTGGGGTTCTATCCAGCCAGCACAGGGGCTGACTTTCCTTCTATTTCTACTTGCTGTGTTCCTCCCTTTGGATCACAAGGGCAGGAACCACCCTTAGGGTGTCACCAGAAGGGTCTCTGCTCACACTCTAGGCCCAGGTCCCTTGTTATCCTAGGTGCTACCCCTCCCCCCCATATGACTCAAGTGACAGAGGACAGAAACAAGTGCTGTGGGATGACAAAGAGGAACATATGCTGGGACAGAAACTGGAGATTTAGGTTCCAGTCCAGCCCTGCTACTGGCTTTGGACAACTCACTCCCCTGCCCCCTCCAGGCAGGCCTCAGTTTCCTCACCTGCCAAATGAGCAGACTGATCAAGATGGTTCCCAAAGCCCCTTTCTTTCATCTTATAAGATGACCTCTTCAAAGACATGTCCCTAACTTAAACATCAAGACCCATTAATTACATTCATCTCTAAAAACTCTAAAATACTGCTTTTGTCCTCACATTCTACACTCCTGCACCCTATGTTTGATGTGGCAGGAATAGAGAGACCCATGGAGCAAAAAGATTAGTTTACAGCTTTATCTGAATTGGGGATTTATGGTTGCCAGATAAAATGGGAGATTTTTATTTGCTAAATCTGGCAGTCCTACGGGGGCTTGTTTGGCCTCTGACAGATGCTGGAGTGTCCAGCCAACACGTGCTTCTCTGGAGCTGCAACATAGCCAAGGGTCACCCCAGGAAAAGATCTCAGGAAGGGATCTGGGCCAGAGAGTCCAGGAACTCAGGATCACCTGGAAAACTTGTTTAAAATGCTGATTTCCGGGTCCCACCACATACCCTACGAAATTAGATTCTCTAGCACCAAGGCCTCAGAACCTGTATTTTTATAATAACAGCAACATAGTAATGGTAATTAATATTCACTGAATACTCACTCTGTGCATAATGTATACTTTATGTACATTATCTTATTTAATCATCACAATACCCTATGAGCTAAAGTACAATACTATTAGTTTCCTATTTCACAGTTGAAGAGACAGAGGCTCAGAGAGGTTAAGTCACTTGCCCAAGGTCAAACAGCCTGTAAGTGGTAGAATCAGGATTCAAACCCAGGCAGAATGACTCTCAACCACTATATCACAGAGTGTCCTCAAATGATTTTCATATGGCCAGAATGGCTTCTGTGCCAGTTTTGGAACTCATTCACTCCCTGCCACCTAGTCCATCCTAAATAAAGAGCCTTAAAATCTTTTTTCCTTTCTTTAAAAGTGTCCAGAAGCACATATAGACCCACTCATCAATCTTAGCATCATGAAAAACAGAACAACTGAACACAATGTCATACAATAGGAAGTATACAGCAACACCTACAAAGTACTGCAACTTAAAAAACTGAACCTCAATCTGCTTAAGCCCCTTGTTCAGTGCTCTTGACAGAACTCTGCAGTGATGGAAATATTCTCTCTATATGCTGTCCAATATAGCAGCCACTAGTCACATATGGCTAGTGAGGATTTGAAATACGGCCAATGCAACTGAGGAACTGACTTTTAAATTTTAATTCATTTTAATTCAAAAACTGAAGTGGTGCAAAATATTTTCCTTTAAATACAACTTTATTTTTTTTGGCAGGATTGCACTCTAACCATTGCATTGCAAACGAATTGAAATGTGCTGTAAGTGTAAGATACACACGGGGTTTTGAAGACATAGGATGAGAAAAACAATGTAAACTATCTCATTAATGAGTATTACAGTGATTACATGTTTAAATGATAATATTTTGTATATATTGAGTTAAATAAAAAATATTATTAAAACTAATTTACCGGGGCTTCCCTGGTGGCGCAGTGGTTGAGAGTCCGCCTGCCGATGCAGGGGACGCGGGTTTGTGCCCCGGTCTGGGAAGATCCCACATGCCGCGGAGCGGCTGGGCCCGTGAGCCATGGTCGCTGAGCCTGCGTGTCCAGAGCCTGTGCTCCGCAACGGGAGAGGCCACAACAGTGAGAGGCCCGCGTACCGCAAAAAAACAAACAAACAAACAAAAAAAAAAAACACAAATAAACTAATTTACCTAGTTCTTTTTACTTCTTATTCAATATGGCTGCTGGAAAATCTGGCATTTCCATTGCATATATGGTTTGCACTATATTTCTACTGAACATCACCAATAGGAAGGGTATCTTGTTCAGGTCTAACTATAGGTTTCAGGAAATACAGGACATAGAGGAACAAGTTAAACAACACCATGAGGAAGGGATAAGCCGAAACCAGACTGTGAGACGATCAACAGGACAAATGACCTAATTCTCCCAACAAATCAATGGCATCAAAAAAGGGAGGGAGGGCTTCCCTGGTGGCACAGTGGTTAAGAATCCACCTGCCATTGCAGGGGACATGGGTTCGATCCCTGGTCCGGGAAGATCTCACATGCTACGGAGCAACTAAGCCCGTGCACCACAACTACTGAGCCTGCGCTCTAGAGCCCGTGAGCCACAACTACTGAAAACCGCAAGCCTAGAGCCTGTGCTCCACAATAAGAGAAGCCACCGCAATAAGAAGCCTGTGCACTGCAACGAAGAGTAGCCCCCGCTCGCCACAACAAGAGAAAGCCCACACGCAGCAACAAAGACACACGCAGCCATAAATAAATAAATAAATAAATAAATAAATAATTTTAAAAGGGAGGGAAGGAGAACTGCCATAGAATAAGAGACATGGGAAACAAAAGAACCAGACACAGCATGTGGACTTCCCTCATTTGGATGCTAATTCAAATAAAACAACCATAAAAAGGTATCTTTGGGTCCATCAGGAATATCACTATGGACTGGAGTGTAGACAGCCTCGGTGGTCTGGGGCGTGGCTGGCTGGATCATTCTGTCAGGTGCGATAAATCCATGGTGGCTGCATTTTAAAAACTGCAGTCAATGAGAGATGCATACTAAAGTGTTTGTATGTAAAATGACATGCTGTCTGAGGCTTGCTTTCAAGTACTGCAGCAAACAAACAGTTGGAGTCGGGGGAAGTAGGATTTGATGTAAAACAAGACTGGCAAAATGGTGATAATGTGAGGCTGGGGGATGTGCCTACGAGGGTTCTTACATCCTTCTCTCTACTTCTGTATATGTTTGAAATCCTCCATAATAAGAGGCTAACAGTAAACTTCTAGGGAAGCAAACTCCTCGCTCTCCCTCAGTGACCCCTGCACAGAAACCATCATCACTTGGAAGTTCTTCTGTAACAGATGAGGAAACCAAGCCCACAGGAGGGGAAGTGGCCATGCAAGGTCTCCTAGCAAGAGAGTGCATGGTCAAGACCATGTCCAAGTCCCAGACCCCCGTCCAATACCATGCACCGTATCATTGTTGGGGGTGGTAGTGCTGGAAGAGGGCTTGGTTTTGAGTTTATTTAGAGTTCGCCACCTGTGTGATGTTACGGCCCCAAGCATTCTCTCACTTGAGACTCACATCCGCCCTGAGGGGTAGATGGAACTTCTGTCATGGTTACCCAGACAAGGAAACTGGGGCCCCAAGAGAGCAGTGACTTGCCCAAGGTGACACAGCTAGTAAGTGGCAGAACCAGGATTTAGATCCAGATCTTCTCAATCCCGGTGCACCACATGTTCCTCTCACTACCCTCTACCCATATTATAAGGCTCGAGGTGCTGATGCAAAAAAGAAAGCCCAAAGTCACCCCAAGCCCTAGGCTGTCATCTGCCATCCCTGTCCAACTGCATCCGTGCCCTCATACACTGCGCTGCCACTGTCTGGCTGGCTCTCTCCCCAGCTAGATTACCTTTGCCTCCACAGCACCCTGTGCAAGGTATTCAAGAGAAGGTGGGCAAATAAAAAAAAACAAAGGAAAGAAGTAAGACATTTAAAATATCGACATGGCACAGAATATTCTGTATCATACAGAAGTGAAGTCTTGGCATTTTCAAGAGACCTGTCGAGAGCCTTCTGTAAATTTTCAAATCCACAGTGTCCCTCAGGAACACAAGGACCTAGCCCAGTCCTTGTTTTGACACTTCCAGCCTTGCTGGGTGGTGCAAGGCTGTGACCTCGGGCATATCCTGCCCTTCCCACCTTAAACAGAACACTGAGTAAATGTAAAAGAACTTCATGAAAATGTGGATGTGTTCTGTCACCCAAAATTACTGATGTAAAGGCCCAGGCTGGGTGAGGACTTTGGGGGACAGTAATCAGCTGTTCTGTTTGAAGGTGTGATCTGGGCAGGAGACGGAGTGAGACGTGATCTTCTTTAGACGAAGAGGGGAACAGCCATGGTGACCCTTAGAATCGTCCCCAGAGACTTGGAAAGCTGGGAGGCTGATAAGCCTGCCGGGTATCTGGCCCAGCCCTGGACACCCAGGCCAGGGACACTCACAGCAATTCTCAGACACCTGTTCTCAAGGCCATCAAGGAGCCTGGGTTTTGTTTCTACCCCCAAACCTAGTTTCTCCCAAGGGCTTCTCAGCCCCAAGATCTCTGCCATGGAGTCATCCCCACTCCACCCAAGCTTCTCTCCTCTCACACCCCTAAACGATTTGACTTAAAGAGGAAAAGCAAAACCTAACAGCCAGCCTCTGCTCTCCTCCAGTGTCTCCAGGAGCCGGTGCCTTCCTGCTAATCTGACCCTTGCCTCCTTCCTCCCTGAAGTTTGATCTGGCTGCTAGGAATGCTTTTCAGGACTCTTTCAAAAGCAGCCAATCATTTACAGGGAGTGCTCAAATGACCTGTGTAGGCAGTGATTTGGGAAGGATGCTGCCAGAGCTGTTGGGGGCCAGAAAGCTGGACTCAATTCAAGGCCTGGGAAGCACTGCCACCACTTTGGAGCGCTCTGTCAGGCCCTGCTCGTGTATGCCCCCGCTGCTGTGTTGGTTTCCACAGCTTGGAGTCAGGGAGGCCCCAGAGAGGTCAGGGGCCTGGGATGGAAGGGCTGCCCAACCCTCCCAGGGCAGACCTACATTTTTCAGAGCCAGCTCCACATGTGGCATGAGTTAATCCATTGAGAGTTTGAAAATATTCTTTACACCCTACACAAGTCAACTTACATGGACAACTCAATCCTTCCCAGCCCTGCCATCACCAGTCCTGACAGCTGCTGCATAGGCGATCATGGACAGGGTAAAAACAGCTGAAGGGGACTTAAATCAGGGTTGGGAATATCCTCTGAGCACTGGCAACTTCAGCTGAAGCCCTGCACTAAACAGTGCTGAGAGGTAGATCCATCCACAAACCCTGCAAATATCAACTGAGCAGGTGGGCTCTGACACCCGTGTTTAAGTACCAGGCAAACCCACTAGCCTAGTAGGGCACAGTGAGGACAAGGAGGCCAAAGGCTCCTAAGCAGCCCAACAGAGGTCACCACGTCCAAACATAAAAGCCCATGAGGGCTTCCCTGGTGGCGCAGTGGTTGAGAGTCCGCCTGCCGATGTAGGGGATGTGGGTTCGTGCCCTGGTCCGGGAAGATCCCACATGCCGCGGAGTGGCTGGGCCCGTGAGCCATGGCCACTGAGCCTGCGCATCCGGAGCCTGTGCTCTGCAACGGGAGAGGCCACAAAGGTGAGAGGCCCGCGTACC